CTAAACAACTATCAAACCTCAATGTGAATAACACAATGTGAACCCAGATTTTCTGTGACCATTTTGTTTTAGTACTGGTAACATGAGCATATATAATGTGTTCAAATATATACCCTTAATATCGGAATGATGCACAAGGTTTTAAGCCATAAAACATTTGAAAACTTGCAAATTTACAAATGTTTTCCCACCTAAGGAAATATTCATATTTCGAACCCAAGCAAACTTAGAAAAGAGTAGGAAATTACATCACTTATATTACAATCAATAGGAATGTATTGGGAATACTGTGTATTTCAGAGGTATATGACGGGTGTGTATATTTGGTGGTAAGACACCATAACGCCTTTCTGATCAGTGTGTCATATCTTTTGCTGGTGTAAAATAAATAAAGAAAACCAAAGTCGTAATATTTCACATTGTAAACAGAAAAAATGGCATTAACGCCTTGAACATATACTTCCCATCTTTCCTCTATCTCTACTTCCCCATGGATAATTGAAGAAACTAATCATTCTGATTAAGAGATCGCACAAGCAATTGTACATACAATGTACTTGGATTAACCTTTCCATATTCCATACAATATCAAGCAAATATTCATTATCATAAATACACAACGTTTCTAGGCTACTATAAAGCAGCCTAGAGACGTTGTGTTGTAAATAATAAAGAAGATGTAAATCCATACCATACGTTGTTATGTTATCTTCCAAATTCTAAATGCCCATCAAGCATCCACATGTTGATCAGTTTACAGTGCAGACATTATGAAAATTTACCCATGAATAAATATAGTGATTACGATGTAGTTGTGTGGCATTTCACCAATCAGGACACACACACACACACACACACACACACACACACACTGACGTTACCAGGAGAAACGGGGAGCTTATGGTACAAACAAAAAGTAGGTCTCTTCATTCGCTACTCGCTGTGTTGGTGAGAAAATAATCAGTTAATCCTGCTTAGGTGGATTTCATCTTGAATAGCCCCAGCCCATACAAATGCAACAAAGAAAATAACGTATATACCAACATCGGTGCGTGTACGGAACAGCTGATATTAATTAAATGCAGCTTGACAATTGGCTTCTGAGGTACGACTTATGCAGAGATCAGAAAAGATATTGGTGACATACATTCTGTTGTCAGTAATAGCATTTGGAATGCTAGATAGATATCACGAGACTGACTATGCATTTATTCATTAACCATTCTGGCAGGTTCACAAATATGTTAATTCGGTCAAAATTGATCTTCAGCAACCCATGTTGTAAGAGCGAACTAATGTGATCGGGTGGTCGTTTTCACCTACTTGTTTGATGCATGCCATCGTATCCCACTTGTGAAGATTGATGCTCATAGTGTCATGACCATGCTATGTGTAACTCTTTTGTGTATATCATTACATATTACTAAAACCAAGGTATGCATATTTTTATGAACGTTACAGTAGAAGCAAGATGTTTATATGAATATTGTCTAGGAATTTCTTTTTGAGTTGTCCACAAAACTAGGCACTTAATGTTTTGTATTTAAAGCAGTACGTTTCTTTCGTAATAGATCTTCATCAAATATTCCTCTGTTCCTCTGTGATAAGGTTGCAAATAAGTTAAGACTAAATCGTTTCCGTGGACCTTCTTCAACATATCTGGGCATATAAACGCCAATGTACAGGAAGGAGTAGCTGCAAGAGGTTGAACCTGTTGTGTGCTTCGGCATGTGGATGTGGACATGAAACATGTTCCCGTGAAATTGACAATGTTGATATTGACTAACTTGTCAACTGGGAATACACTATGACTATTAAGAACAATAAATACGAATTGATATGAAGGTAATGTTGCTTGTGTTATGATGACATGACTGTGTGTATATTTGGTGGTAAGATACCATAACGCCTTTCTGATGAGTGTGTCATATCTTTTACAATGTATCAATGATTGCCAGTGTAAAATAAAGAAAGAAAGCCAAAGTCGTAATATTTCACATTGTAAACAGAAAAAATGGAACACCATAATGTCAATTGTAAACCTTCCATTAGGATGTCATGTTATTATCCATCAGCTTTAAGGGTTTCACGGCATGTCAGTGCAATACTGACACTTATCTCCTTCTGACATCAGCTGAATTGTTGTTTCTGCTAGAATGTCAATAAACGCAAATTTGTATGATAGTTCAATAGTATCTTCGACATATTTAGTATTGTTGATACTTTGTAAAGCATGGAGCTGAAATTATCTTATGTTTTGCTGATCTAAATACAAAGTACCAACCTTCATTTCCTTGTAATGGTTTTTCATGAATACGATGCCAACCAAAGGTTTATATGATCTTCAAATGATATAGCTGAATCAGAAACACATGATTTGGGGAAAACTACCTTTAATTTGTAAAGTTCAACTCACATTTTTTTCATCAAATGCCCTTTCTATTGAAATTGACCTTTGACCTTACCAAACTATTTTTGCGATGAACATATATGTAATATTATTGTCCACAATTTTAAATCATGGTCTGATCATTCCAAAACTATTTGTGTTATGAAAATCGTTCAAACCAAACCAGAGTTATTAAATTAAACCATCCAGTTATCGGTTAAAATATTGCCATAACTGACATGACATGTTGCACCTTAACAGGGCCTCTGTACGGTAGTCACGCACGGTAGCTGATGACAACCGGCTTTAAATCAAAGCCAAATCATTCCTGATTGTGAAAAATCACATTCCATTCGGTCGCCAGAACTGCACCACATTTTCACCATTTGGGGGGTCTGGCTTCTAGACCACAGGTGTTTAACAGAAGAAATGCAGCATGTCTGATATTGAAGAAACATTTTTGGACGTCTTAGGCTGTAAGCCTGACAGGTTGAAAAGTGAGATGACAAAACACTCAGTTCCATATTCAAATAAGAGATATGTACTCTACGGTGTGGCCACACCAAATTTCAAAGCACAGAATTTTTGTTTCTTAAATTAATGTACTACATCTGACCAAAATCGTTAACCTAGCTCTGCATTGGAGTGAGTGAATATGGTTTTATGCCGCTTTTAGCAATATTCCCGCAATATCACGGTGGGAACACCAGAAATGGGCTTCACACTTTGTGCCCATGTGGGGAATCAAACCCAGGTCTTCAACTTAGTTTAAACTATTAGACTATCCCACAGCCCCATCGGCACTGGAGACAGTTTCCTTATCCATTAATTGCTACTTGTCATTGCATGTTTCCATAGCGATGTTCTGAAATATTAAATAAGTAATGCACATTGTCATAAACCTTTCCATCAAAGGACCCAGGATGTTATTGGATACGATCCTATTCTTCTAGTTTGCTTCTGATATATATCCATGATATTTGATGCTGTTGCCACCAGCTGGTTTCTATCACAATATTTTCTACTCATGAAAGAAAGAACATTGAAGAGTGTATGTTTCATGTGAAATGAAATGCTGGTTTGGATGACCTTGTGAACCAACAGACAAATGTTGTGGAAGGCAGGTGGCCAGGTGCTCTAAGGTGTTACAATTCACTGTACAGAGTTGCATCCCTTGTATATGCCAGGAACCTTTTATTGCTCATTAATTTCAATCCTGGTTTGCCTTTATTTAAATTTGTCAGCATTATTCTGTGTTTGTGGGTTCCACCAAAGTTGTAATCGGGGTGCGATTTCTGGGGTTTTTTTCAGTACCTGTACTTTGTACAACCTGGCGTATAGGTTTGGCTGCACCATCAAAATTTCAGTTGCATCACAAAATAATGTCACTGGTTTTAAAACTTATCATTAATACTTGTGTAACAGTTTTTGTAACAAGTACTCTGTATCAGGTACATTCAACAGAACCAGATCCCATGATGATATCAATGAATGATTGTTTCAAGTTTGCATTACCTTTATTTATAAGTCTCAATTATATGATTACTGCTATGTAACTGATTAATAAGTACACAGAAGTTTATGCTTGTAACAAGTCTTGTTACTTCCAGCCACTTACTTCCCAATTAAAACACATGATAGCTATAAGACATAAGAGCATTTCTTGTTATCTGCCTACCTTACCTGACTTAGAACTTCCTGCAACATTCACCCTCTCCTCCATACAACCAGCATAGTAAATCTGCCACAGGCCAGAGAGAAGTGATGATTCGTCACATCTTGCACTTTCCATTCAATATATTGTACATATTTCTTAGCTCTTCTATTTTTGACGAGTCTACACAAAAAAATAAACATCTTCGATAGAATGGTTTAGTTTCACTGAGAAAATAAACATGTAACACTGTTTCGATTTGCGTAGCGATTCTTTGTTTACATAGGTTGTGCAGTTCCACGTGCTCTCATCGAAGCCCTGTGGAGAGCAAACGGTGAAGCCACTTTTATACATAAATATGTGTTGTCTATGTTACAATGTAAAACATAACAAAGTGTGCACCAAAAACCTTGCATTATTCCAGTCTCTTCTTATTTACAAATGTGAGCATTTGTTTACAAACAAGAAAAAAGTTTGTTCATGTGATACGCAAATTAGCCTGTGGCAGTGATGTTACACTAAGTCATCACTGCGTCGGAGTGGGCTGACACGCACTGATATAACTGAAATAGTGTTCAAAACGGCATAAAACCCAGCTCTGTAGTGAACGAACTGTCGTGTACTACAGATTCCCACTAGTGCCGACATCTTTGTTTAACATGAGGCCCATCTTAACTCTTAGATCCGTGAAGATCCGGGTTAGAATTGATCTTCAGTAACCCATGCTTGTCGTAAGAGGCGACTAACGGGATCGGGTGGTCAGGCTCGCTGACTTGGTTGACACATGTCATCGGTTCCCAATTGCGTAGATCAATGATCATGCTGTTGATCACTAGATTATCTAGTCCAGACTCGATTATTTACGGACCGCTGCCATATAGCTGGAATATTGCTGAGTGCGGTGTAAAGCTAAACTCACTCACTCACTCTTGACTGTCATGGATGTTTTCATTGCAGTGTAGTCGCCAGAGAGGTCATGACAACCATGGCTGTGAAAGGTACAACTTTTCTTATCACAGCATGTTGACTGCCAGTGTTTGTGACTTCAAAGAAATAACCTGTAGAACATTAACTCATGTCCACGGATAACATATTGATGGATTGTATAGTTTTTAAGGTGATTTTAAGTACATTGTACTAATTCTGTTGCGATTCACTCGTGTATTCAGTGATTCAAACCATATCCATTCATGAATTCAATTCATTATTCGACGTCACTAGAATCGAATATTTACGAATATGCTTAAGAGAATGGAACATAGTTAGATGTTTATCTAAGTGAGATACGCAAAACGGAATATATCCATGCCACAAAGTAAACCTGTCGTATTCCCTCATTGTTGCAGCCTTACCTAGCCCCCATGTGGGGAATTAAACTCAAGACTGGCCTGACAAGCTATGGCTATAGTGAAAATTGATAGTGTAAATCCAGAGGGGGTACTTGTTTGACATAAACCTCTAGTCGAAATGAGCTCTGGACGAGCTTGATTTGACACCTGACCCCTGGGGTCAAACCATAATCACCACTCAATGCTTCAGTTTTCCTACAAATTTGAACTGAATAATAAATATAAACAAAGTAAACATATGTATCTTGTTCAAGCTGGGCTAGTTACAAACTGTGAGGACTAATTAAATACAGTTTCCACTTGTCCTATGAACTTACCTGTACGAAAACAACTTTGTAAGGCTATTGTCAACTTTGCAACTTCATCCCTCTCATTTACTTTAACGTTTGTAAGAACACCTCACTCTGCAAGGTACATTCAGGTGTAGTAAAGATGAGGGCTGTTCCTCCATTGTACATTGACCTTGACCTTAACAACTAAAGTGGCAATAAACTATTGTCAGGCATAGATTGCTTCAGGGATCTAGATTTCGCCCTGGCTTAAAACTTGTGTCGAAAGTGTCCTGCGAATTTCTTTCCTGAAATTGTACGGGTAGTTGAAGAAAATTCATTTTTGATAAATGGTAAGTATCAGGATTTGTAGTCAGTTGTTTGTAATGAAATCCCTGTGTATTACATCCCTCCCTCATAGGAAGTACATTGTTGCAAGCATGAATGGTCATGTATTTGTTGTGCTGTGTCTTGTTGCTACTAACTTGTTTAACAGGTGTGATATGAGCACTGAATTTCACCAGCACAGAAAGTTATTGTTTAGGCTGTTCAGAAACTTAATGGTGTTGTGTCAGTGGGTTTTATGTCACTTTCCAGCATTTTTGCATGAACGTAGTGTGCACGAGTGTTTAAATTGAATTAACACAGATTACTGCATCCACAGTGTGGTACCATACCACAGTTTAACATGCCCTTTACAGACAGGACCCGTGAAGATCTGGGTTAGAATTGATCTTCAGTAACCCATGCTTGTCATAAGAGGCAACTAACGGAATCGGGTGGTCAGGCTCGCTGACTTAGTTGACACATGTCATCATTGATCACTGGATTGTCTGGCCCAGATTCGATTATTTACTGAATTCCACCATATAGCTGGAATATTGCTGAGAGCTAGCGTAAAACTAAACTCACTCTCTAGTCGAAATGAGCTCTGGACGAGCTTGATTTGACACCTGACCCCTGGGGTCAAACCATAATCACCACTCAATGCTTCAGTTTTCCTACAAATTTGAACTGAATAATAAATATAAACAAAGTAAACATATGTATCTTGTTCAAGCTGGGCTAGTTACAAACTGTGAGGACTAATTAAATACAGTTTCCACTTGTCCTATGAACTTACCTGTACGAAAACAACTTTGTAAGGCTATTGTCAACTTTGCAACTTCATCCCTCTCATTTACTTTAACGTTTGTAAGAACACCTCACTCTGCAAGGTACATTCAGGTGTAGTAAAGATGAGGGTGTTCCTCCATTGTACATTGACCTTGACCTTAACAACTAAAGTGGCAATAAACTATTGTCAGGCATAGATTGCTTCAGGGATCTAGATTTAAGCCCTGGCTTAAAACTTGTGTCGAAAGTGTCCTGCGAATTTCTTTCCTGAAATTGTACGGGTAGTTGAAGAAAATTCATTTTTGATAAATGGTAAGTATCAGGATTTGTAGTCAGTTGTTTGTAATGAAATCCCTGTGTATTACATCCCTCCCTCATAGGAAGTACATTGTTGCAAGCATGAATGGTCATGTATTTGTTGTGCTGTGTCTTGTTGCTACTAACTTGTTTAACAGGTGTGATATGAGCACTGAATTCACCAGCACAGAAAGTTATTGTTTAGGCTGTTCAGAGCTTAGTAATTGTTGTGTCCAGTGGGTTTTATGTCACTTTCCAGCATTTTGCATGAGCGTAGTGTGCCGCGAGTGTTTAAATTGAATTAACACAGATTACTGCATCCACAGTGTGGTACCATACCACAGTTTAACATGCCCTTACAGACAGGACCGTGAAGATCTGGGTTAAATTGATCTTCCAGTAACCCATGCTTGTCATAAGAAGGCAACTACTTGAATGGTGGTCAGGCTACGCTGACTTAGTTGACACATGTCATCATTAATCACTGGATTATCTGGCCCAGACTTTAGCGTTTGTAAGAACACCTCACTCTGCAAGGTACATTCAGGTGTAGTAAAGATGAGGGGTGTTCCTCCATTGTACATTGACCTTGACCTTAACAACTAAAGTGGCAATAAACTATTGTCAGGCATAGATTGCTTCAGGGATCTAGATTTCGCCCTGGCTTAAAACTTGTGTCGAAAGTGTCCTCTTAATTTCTTTCCTGAAATTGTAATGCGGGTAGTTGAAGAAAATTCATTTTTGATAAATGGTAAGTATCAGGATTTGTAGTCAGTTGTTTGTAATGAAATCCCTGTGTATTACATCCCTCCCTCATAGGAAGTACATTGTTGCAAGCATGAATGGTCATGTATTTGTTGTGCTGTGTCTTGTTGCTACTAACTTGTTTAACAGGTGTGATATGAGCACTGAATTTCACCAGCACAGAAAGTTATTGTTTAGGCTGTTCAGAAACTTAATGGTGTTGTGTCAGTGGGTTTTATGTCACTTTCCAGCATTTTTGCATGAATGTAGTGTGCCGCAGTGTTTAAATTGAATTAACACAGATTACTGCATCCACAGTGTGGTACCATACCACAGTTTAACATGCCCTTTACAGACAGGACCCGTGAAGATCTGGGTTAGAATTGATCTTCAGTAACCCATGCTTGTCATAAGAGGCAACTAACGGAATCGGGTGGTCAGGCTCGCTGACTTAGTTGACACATGTCATCATTGATCACTGGATTGTCTGGCCCAGATTCGATTATTTACTGAATTCCACCATATAGCTGGAATATTGCTGAGAGCGGCGTAAAACTAAACTCACTCTCTTTACAGGCAGAAAACTGACCTCAAGCATGCCAGTCCTAGTTTTATCGGATTGCCAGCAGGATAATGAGTACCATCTTTGAACATGTCTTTTTGTTTGATGGTGCTGAGGATCAAACCAGTCTCTGGGCAGGCACTTCATCCGCTAGACCATGGAGGCAGAAACTGATGGAGCTTTTTTGTTCTGTGTATATAACTTGGAATGTGACCCCTGAAGATCCGAGTTAGAATTGAACTTCAGCAACCCATGCTTGTAAGAGGAAGCTCACTGGTCAGGCTCATTGACTTGGTTGATACATGTCATTGTACCCAGTGGGGGATTCTGGGTTCAAATAGTTCCCAAGCAACCTATGCTGGTCTTTAGGAGGCGTCCAAAAGAATCAGATGGTCAGGCTCAGTGCCTTGCTTGAATATTATCATATTCCAGGCCTACCATACAAACTGTGAACAAATCCTCAAAACTGAACTCATATACACCAAAACAGAACAAAAATCACCAAAATAGGATATATATTATATTCCCAAGCTTTCAGACCCCACAGGACACTGACTGTACCCAGTGGGGGATGCTGGGTTAAAATAGTTCCCTAGCAACCTGCTGGCCATAGGAGGCGGCCGAAAGTTTTGGTGGTCAGGTTCAATGCCTTGGTTTAATACATGTCACTCACAATATCAATCACTTGATTGTCTGATCCAGGCTGTTGTCAGGTAGCTGGAATGTTGCTCAGTGCAGTGTTAGACAGCAAATGTAGACGTAGCTGAGTGCATCACCGTATTCTTCATGTTGTCTTGACTAGACTTGATCTCTCAAAGACATGAAGGGAGTGAGAAAATAAAGAGGTCACTACCTATCAGGGGTGGAAATAACTTTAAAATTGCTAGTGTTTTCCGGTACAGTGGCACATGTAAAATCACTTGCCCTGATAATTTTTCCACTATACTGGCCGATTTTCTCGTTGATTTTTTAAATATACAACATAATTAACATCAGAAAGTCAACTGGACACCGGTACAGTGTGATATACAAATTTGCTTGCCCGACAGGAAAAAACACTGGACTGGGGCGTCGGGCAATGGGTTATTTCCACCCCTGCCTATGTGTGAGATACCATTTACCAACGAGTTTGTTTCTGAAGGTATCTGAGTAAGAGAGAGTTTTATACTTTTCGAAAAGCGAAAACATCAATAGTTTCGATTTGACATGCACTAATGCTGTTATCTCTTTCTTAATGCCAAACATTTGCACCATTTCTAGAATCAATACCTTTATCTATTCCCATGATTACATTGGCTCAATAATATCTGACTTTTGTGACCTCCTTAGGCTTACTGCTTACTACTTATACAGGGTTATATGTGACACAGAAATGTACGTCCAGTGTGCACAAATGTATAGAATAGACACAGAAGAAATATACATTATAATAATAATAATAATAATTTATTTGTAAGAAGAATGACATTCACTGAACCAAATTCTTGAAAGTGATATGGGGCAGTGGGGTAGCCTAATGGATAAAACGTCCGCTCATCACACTGAAGACCCGGGTTCGATTCCCCACATTGGTACAATGTGTGAAGACCATTTCTGGTGTCCCCCGCCGTGATATTGCTGGAATATTGCTAAAAGCGGCGTAAAACTAAACTCACTCACTA